GGTGGATAGTTCTAGGCAAACAAGAAGAATGGAGAATGATAATTTTGGTAAGAATAGAAGATTTAGAAGCTCTCAGAGTTGAAAAGTCTTGTATCTCTCAATGTCAAATTCAAAACCAATGGGAATAGAAGGGGAGAACTGAAACAAGCAATAATTGATGAATTTCAATGTACTCTCATAGAATGTTAGGGGGTTAAGCAGCAGGAATAAAAGAAGATTGGTCAAGAGTTCAATAATAGAATGGAATGCACCTATTATTTGTCCGCAAGAAACTAAATTCTTGCAACTAAATTTGAGGGGAATTTATTTGAAGAGGTGAAACAAGTTTGAGGTGGGTTAGATTTGCTTGCTTAAAAGTTAGAAGCACCGGAGGGGTTATACTATTGCTATAGGACTATCAGGAATGGAAGGGAGAAATCCTAAAAATAGGTGCTTACTTGTTAACTTGCAAATTTGAGGGATAATTGCAAGACTTCTCTCGTCATATCATTGGGGTATATGCTCCCAACTCTTGCATAGAAAGAAGTTTAATATAGGAGGAGACAGGGGCAATAAGGTCCTTGTATAGTATGTGTTGATTTTAATGTGGCCACACATACTAGCAAAGTTGAAGCTGAAAAGAGAAATTGTCTAAGAAGATCAAGGGGTATGAGAAAATTCTCTGATGTCATTGAAAAGTTAAGCTGATTGATATACAACTTGAAGCTGCAATTATAGTTTGTTCAAAAGGAATACCCGGAGGATAGCCTCTAGGATTGATATGATAACTCACCTAATGTCTTACAAGGGGGAGCATGGAACAAGAACAAAAGCTACTTTAATTTGAAAATTGGTGGCTTGGCACAAAAGGATTCAATGATAGAATTAAGGAATGGAGGAGCTCTTTCAGCTTTTTTTGAAGGCGGAGAATGGAAGTAGTAGAGTTTGGCACTATGATAGAAGAAACAAGGCTGACAAAAGAGGAGACAAAAAGGAGGGCAACAAGTCTACTAGAGTACGAGGAATTTATTAAAAATGAAGAAATATCTTGGAGACAAAAGTCAAAGTCATTGTGGCTAAAAGAGTGATAGAAACACTAATGTTTTTCAGTATATAGCAAATGCACAATAAATGTACAATAACATTGACCAACACATGATTGAGGGATAATTATCTTAAGATCCAGGAAAAATTGAAGTGGAAATTGTGGAATATTACAGAAAGTTGTATTTTGAAACCATAAGCTAGAGACCCAACTTATTTGGTTCTTAAATGTTCTGGACTAAAAGATGAGGAAAAAGAGATGCTATAAGGGGTTATTGAGGAGTGTGAAGTTTTGAGATGTCTTAAACGATGTGTATTAGTCAAAGTACCGGGCCCATATGGTTCATAATGGGTTGCTTCATGAAATGTTGGGATATACTAAAAGCAAGACATCATGCTGGCCTTTCAGAGTTTCCATGAACACAAAATATTCGAAAGTAGTCATAATGCCACTTTCATAACTCTTATTCCAAAGAAGAGGAGCCAAATAGTTGAGGGATTTTACACCAATAAGTTTGATAGGCAGTATATACAAGTTATTTGCTTAAGTATTGATAGAAAGATTGAAAGTTATGATAGCCAAGTTGATTGATCCACAACAAATGACATTCATCATCATGGATGCAATGATAATAGCTAATGAAGTTGTGGACTCTCGACCAACTAGAAAAAACCTGAAATCATGTGTAAGCGAGACATAATGAAGGCATATGTCCATGTTAAATGGGAGTACTTATTGGATTCTGTGAAAAGAATAGGTTTTGGTAAGAAGTGGATAGAATGGGTCAAACACTGCATCTCGATTGTGAGATTTTTAGTGCTTATCAATGGCTCACTGACGTTATATTTTCAGTGCACAAAGGGGTTTAAGTCAAAGAGATCCTTTGCCACCCTTTCTCTTCTTAATAACTATGAAGGGTCTTGATAGCATGATCAAAATATCAAACATGAATGGGTGGCTTAGAGGATTTGATGTGGCCAAAATTGGACAAAAAAACCTAAAGATAACTCACTTGCAATATGTGGATGATACTCTCATACTATGTGATGTTTGAAGAGGGTCAACTCAAGACCTTGAGGGTGATTTTGGTACTTTTTGAAGGGATTTCTGGGTTGCACATTAATTGGGGGAATAGTTTCCTGTTAATGTAGTGCAAAACATGGAGATTTTGAATGCAATCCTAGGTGGGGAATTGAGGAATCTACCCACCATTCTTCAAGGGATGACATGGGGAGCAAATTAACAATCAATTGAAATATGGAATAGTGTAATTGAAAGGTGAGAAAAGAAATTGGCTAGATGGGAGACTCAATATCTCTCCGGGGGAGGCAAACTAAGTCTCATCAACTCAATCCTTTATTTAGTCCTAACCTACATGATGTCTGTTTTCCCATTCCAACTGGGGTTATCAAGAGATTGGACAAGGTGAGGAGGAGGTTTCTCTAGAAAGAAAACAATGAAATGAAGAGTTATAATCTGGTCAAATGGGAAGCAATGATAACTGGGAAAAGACAAGGGGGTTGAGAATCAAGAACTTGAAATTCCAAAGCAAGGCCCTTCGGATGAAGTGGTTATGGAAGTATAGTAATTAGAACCAGGCTCGATGGAGGAATGTTATTAATGCCAAGTATGATAAGGAAGACCACTGGATGACTAAAGAAATAACGACACCCTATGATATTAGTTTGTAGGTTCTATCAGAACACTATCGAGTAAATTGAAAACCAACATTCAGATTAGAGTGGTAAATAGGGCTATAACTCGAGTAAATTGAAAACCAACATTAAGATTATATTGGTAAATGGGGCTAGAACTGGTTTTTGGAAATTTGAATGGCATGAGGCAGGAAGACTGGAAAATTTGTTCCTAGATATTTATGCATTAGTCTCTCATCAACAAAAGACTGTTGCAGGATTTTGGATACCCCGTGGATGAAGCTTCAACTTTAGAAGACAATTAAATGACTGTGAGATCCAAAGAATAATAAATTTCTTCAGTATCATCGAACAATTCAATGGACTTGAGGTAGGTCAAGATATCTTAAAGTGGAAAGGTAGTAAGAAGGGTCTGTGCAAAGTAAGCACTGGTTACATGTGGATGAATCGAACACCTCAGTGCACATACAACTGGTCATGGAGAGGCATCGGAGAAAACAGAATCCCGCACAAAGTTGCCTGCTTTATCTAGTTGCTAATCAAGGAAGCAACTCTCACCCACGACAATCTGATGAGGAGAGGGATACCACTTTGTCCTAGGTTTTTCTTTGGGGAAAATGCTGAGACAGTTAACGACCTATTTCTTCATTGCAAAGTCACTGACAACTATGGAAGATTTTCTTAAATCTCAAAGGCATCTCATGGACTACGCATGGAAAGAATACTAAAGCAATCTATAGCTGGGAGGAAGCTGGTGTGCAGGCAAAAACAGAGATAGATGGAGAATTGTCCCTACTAGTTGGTTAAGTAACATTGTTATCAACCAAGTAATATTTATTTTGTTGAAATTTTTCTTTTGATAATGAAAAAAAAAGATTTTTCCTTTTGCTCTTCTTTTTCTCTTCTTTATGGTAGTTTGTTTTGTTTCTAAGTTAACTATGTGGGCAGTGGAGGGGTGAGGATCAAATTGGTTCATAATAAAAAATGTTATTAGGTCAATATTTGAATATCAAACTACTTTTTAAAGTCCCAATATTTAAGTTAGGTGCAAGGGCAATTTAGTTTAAAAAATGCGTATATTGCTAATCTATTACATGTATGTAGTTTAGCAAGACCCATATATTTTGCCAAGTTTATGATTTCAAGAAATTTTAGATCTATCTAGATAACTACCTCCCATGTAATGTTAGGTCTACCTCGTCTCTTTTTAATATCCATGGATCAATATATCTCTAGATTGATGCCGGACATGATCAAATCTTCTCAAGTGACATTCTATTATTTCATCCTCAATGTGTGTTATTTGTACCTTTTCCGGAAAATTTGGTCATTTTTAATCGTGTAGAATCTTTGTACGACCGCACATTTGTCTTATCATACCACATCGATGTGACACTCATCTTGTGATGTATTTGGCTTTAGTTTGCCCAACATTCACTCATAGATTTGTTTGTTTGTAGCTAATATAGAGATTATCTTTCACTTTGCTAGACATCTTGGCAGCACTTCGCTATTCAAACCATTTGATTTTGATTTATTCATGACAATTGAGAAATCCTCGAGTGTCAGTGGTGCACATTCGAAACTCGATAGTTAATGGACCCACCCATGTACCCTTTTCCATTTAAATAGCAGGCCTTTGTCTGCGGCAAGACTTGATTTGAACTCAAGACGTGTGGCCAACCCTCACATTATGAGTTGCGCTCTTACTACTGGACCAAAACCCTAGGGGCAATTTTATGTGTAACATTTTCATCTGTAACAATGAGCTTAGATATCTAAGAGTTGTTTGCATTTATGTCCACAATTCCGTCTACTTTCACCTCAACATCACTTTCCTCATCTTGACTAAACTGGCAGTGCATGCATTCAATCTTACTTTTACTTATTCTAAAATCAATAAAATGATATTTATTGTTTAGAGTTATCTCTTCAAAGATTATGCCCATTGGCAATGAAACATGTGCCTTAGAGCCTTGGTGGATTCGCTGATATGCCCACTAAGCGAAACATGAACTTGGTCTGTTTTCCAACTGGTTTTACGGTTTAAACGCGTTAGGTGAGCCGTTGACAACACTTGTTTAATAGATACTTTTTACATAGATCAGATGTTAGCTTTAGGAAGCTCTTTTCTTTAATTATTCACTAGTAAATGAGCTGTACATAAATTGCAAAAATGTTGAAGGGGTTTATTCTTACATAGTTTAGTTACACAAATTATCATTGCCCAGTTTGGTTATTTTTTCAAATAGCTCGGGTTGCTCTATATCCTTTAAGCTATGTCCTGTATTTTATTCTTTTGCTCATTTTGAGTTCTGCAGACAAATGTAATATATTACAGAGGCATATGGCATGCATTACAAACCATCAGTAGGGAAGAAGGGATAGCCGGCCTATATAAAGGAATGGGTGCTACTCTATTGGTATCTCTTCCTGTCCTTAAGATTCTCTCTGTTGAATAGTGTTTCCTGTTTTATGCTGAATGAATATCTCAATATCATGAAGGGGGTAGGCCCGAATTTGGCAATCAGCTTTTCTGTTTATGACACTGTGAGATCGTACTGGCAGTCTCATAGGTAATATTCGATAAGAGTGGTACCGCCTGTTCTCTCTTTTATCATTTTTTTCTTGATCATTATCCATGAAATCTGCTGCTATTCACTGGTTAGTTCTCAAGTTTGTTCCTTTTGTATTAACCTCTAGATAGAATTATATTAACACACTTCTTGATATCAGACCAGATGATTCAACTGTCTTGGTCAGCCTTGCTTGTGGAAGTCTTTCAGGTGTTGCGTCATCAACAGGTTAGTAATCTGATGTAACATGAAACGTGGTAGAAATTTTGAGCTTCCAATTATGTTTTGATTTCTATACAGGGAAATAGTGATGAGGAAAAGTATTGTCTTAACTATATTTCTTGAATTTTGTCTAATATCCCCCAGCTTGTTGGGTGTTGATCACCGCATTCTTTTAGTGTGTTGTTGCCTCTGAATTTTTTGATCTCAAAGTCTGGTTACTACATGGAGACATATCTATATTGCCAAAGCTTTCAATTTCTACATGCTTCCTATTCCATATGTGTTGGGGCAAAGAAAAGACTTGTTTATCTTCCTCTGGGCTATGTCTCCTGGCAGTCTGGCACCTTATATGAAACTTTTTCTATATTATACTTCTCTTTGATACATGTGTTGTGTTAGCTCTCCACATCAAAACAAATGGAATATTTAATTGTGATTCTATATATTCTTTACAAAATAGATTAAGAAATAGAAAAGCTGACATTGTGGTCAATAAGTTGTTTCTCCAGCGCAAAATTGGTGGGGCACTACCTTTATTTTACATATACAGTATTAGGCCTTACCCTTAACTAGTATACTCTTAGACAAAATTTCAGGTATTTGAATGTAGATGTCGATGCATGGAGCTGTCTCATGGCTTTTGATGCAGAGAGGCAGGTTAGGGTTCTGGCTCCTCACTAAGTTTCTAGCTGGACCGACTCTTAGAGCCTGAGACCGAGCACCTTTATCTGGCATTTGAATTTAGTAAGAGAGTTCACTCCTAAAAAATAATTTGCTTCCTTGTCTTTCTCGACACTAACTTATTGTTTCTGGCTCGAAATGTCAGATATAGTATTCGTCTCATTCATTAATTGGATAATTTGCATCTTCAAACATGCAGTTGTCTCCACCATGGTGGATGCATGGGAGCCATATGTATTTGCAGTTATCGAAGTGTGAGAGGCTTCCTCATTGAGGTATGCTTCTCAATTAGGCTTGAAATGTTCTGTTACAAAAATCAATTGTAGGACCAGTCAAGAATTACCTCTGTTTATGCTGGTCTTTGTGTGTAAAATATGGGCAATTCTGTGTATTTCGTAGAAACCCTAAAAAAAAAGATAAGAGACAGCAGAGAAATAACATGAATGCACTGGGCAACTAAATGAATGTCAATTGCACCAACTAAATAACAAGTTAACAAAGTGAAAGGAGAAAACATATAAGAAGTTCATGATTGCAGTCCATTCCCTCCCATTGCATATTTGAAGTCCCAATTAAGCATCTGTTGGTTTAGAATAGGAGGCTTCGGCATTGTGGAGCATGCTTTATTATTATCATCTTACCAGATTAGATGCATCATCCCAGTATTATGCTATTTCTGTCTAAAGAATAGAAACTTGTATATTGACAGATAGAGAGATCAAATTGGGATATAAAAATAGTTGAAGTAGTCCCAGTCGGTTTTATGTTCCATTGAACAAGCACCCGTGATTTAAAAGCAAGAAGTGCTACAAAACTATCCTGAGGCGGTTGATAAAAATCGAGGAACAAAAACACACACTATAGCTGTAGAAGAGCTAGCAGAATAGAAGGAATAGGAGAAAGATCAAAGTGGGGAGGATGATGAAGAACACGAAGAAAAGAAATCAGACAGAGAGAAGTTGAACAATTACAGGATGAGGGCGCAAGAGAAGAAATTAAAACTCAAAAATTGATGGAATTTTTAATCATCAAGAAAGAAGATGAGGAACCTTCATGGAGCAAAGCGAAAGGGCATTTAGGACCTATTTTTCTCTCCACCTTTTCTTGTATCGTAGCAGCATACAGTTTACAGTTATACTGCCTCTCCATCTGTTTATGCAGATAGTAATTTAGATTCCTTTCATTTTTTTTCATTGTTTTTCTCAAGTACAACAGAAATCCAGACAGGAGCTCTCATCTCATGCCTCTAAAACTTGCGCCACTGTAGCGAGCACTTCTTTTAGAGTCGCATCACTTTGCTCTACTGAGGCACCATACCTACACGTCATGATGACTCTCCTACTTAATAGCTTAACACTAACTGGCACATGTTTTGGCTTCTAATTTATTTTGATGTTTAGTGAATGGGCAATCACTTTTGGTGTTCCCATTTTGATATTATTGATTGTCGTAAGTGGATCAATTGCTTTTCAATTCATTACTTAAACCTGGTCAATGTTTTTAGCATTTTCATGTTTATGTTTATGGATGCGTTTGCAGTAACATTCCCTTTGGATCTTGTGAGGCGCCGAATACAATTGGAAGGAGCAGGTGGTCGGGCCCGTGTTTATAAGACTGGTTTGTTTGGTACATTCAGTCATATTATCCGGACAGAAGGCCTACGTGGTTTATATAGAGGAATTTTGCCTGAATATTACAAGGTTGTGCCTAGTATTGGTATTGTCTTTATGACGTATGAGAAAATGAAGCAGCTTCTCTCTGATATTGACTGATGCATTGGCGGTTGACATACTTGGAGAGTAAACTAACAAATACAAGGTGCCGCAGTATTATATACCAGGAGAATCTGGAATTCTTTGGAAATCTCTAGTTGTCGATGTAAATTCACACATTCATGATGTATAGACGGTCAAAAGAAGCCACAGGTTTAGTAACCATGATTCCTTCTGGGGTCTTTGATGAGCCTATGCTCTGAGCCTGAAGTTTCACGTTGCAAAAGTAACTACAAAAACGAAGTCTTTGCTTTGTATTACTTGTATGATTCATTTTGGTGTCTTTGATAAGCCTATGCGCTGAGCCTGAAGTTTCATGTTCTGGTCATTTATAACAAAAATACCTCATCATTAGAAAAAAGGGTGTATATGGATTGGGTTGGTTTGGATTTTTCAAATATCAAATCAAATTATTTGTATAGGGTTTTTAAATCTATAACCAAAAGTAAAACTAATAAAATTTGAGTTTTTCAATCTCGAACTTTTTCTGGTTTAACTTGTGTCATATTTTTTTTTTAATTCTATCAAAATCAATTTTATAGGGTGTTTTTTTGAAAAAAATTTAAAAATAATACAAAATATGATAAGAGTTATGATATTAAAATCACATAAAATAAATATTGTATATAAATAAGTCGATAATGAAAATGTGTTATAAAATGGTTATTCACACTAGGGGTGTACAAGCCAAACCGAACCGATGAACTAAATCAGATCGGAAAAAAAAACCGATTTGTGATTTGGTTTGGTGTTGAAAAAAATCGTGGTATTAAAAGAAAAAAAGTCAAACTGAACTCAAACCAATATATATATATATATACTAGATTTTCGACACGTGTGTTGCACGTGATAATAATTCAGAAAATTTAAGCAGATTTGAATAATAAGTTTTGCATAAAATAATAGGAAAATAATATTGCAGATTCTTTTGTGAATGTTCAATGTGGATAGACACATATATCTCATATTCACACGAACCTATGAAGATGGTCAATGAAAAAATTTATTAGTTAAATGCAGTAATGTATATATTTATTTCAATTTGATGAGGTTCAATCATGTAATTAGTCGTATCTCACTAATATTACCTTATAAGCGATATTTGTTGTGTATATTTTTTGTCATCTAACCAGATGTGCTTTGCATGTGTATTGCACTTAATCTGTTTAGATGTCATATGAACATGCAGAGAATAACTACATTTTATTTTTTATAACTATTTTTGTATATTATTTTTTATTTTATAAGTTATAACGTAATAGATGTTCTTTTTGTTAGATCTCATATTTGACTTTTCGATTGTCTGTGTACATAAATCAAAGATAGTTATCTGACTGTCCATAGTTAACTGAGAAAAAATTCCTTTTTTTATTATCGAAAAAAATAAAAATAAAAATTAAAGAATATATTCTATATGTGAAATCATATATATAATCACCTGTTTATCTTACATCCAACAAAGATATAGTTCATATACTTGTAAACAATTTTCAATTTATTCAATCAAGCATGATTCGTCCAAGGAAAATAACAACACAGTGTTATCACATATATATGGGCGGTATAATAATATGAAAAATTATTGGTCAAACGTTAATATAAGGAAAGATGAAAAATAGAAATAATTAATGTAATAACTATGAAAATTCATAATATTATAACTAAAAAATGTAAAAGAGTGTGAATAACATTTGCAATAATTAGTAACAACTAAGAGAATTTATATGTTATAACTAAAGCACTAATGTGCAATAGATGAATTTCTAATAAATTTTGCACATACATAAATGAATAGGACTTTTAATTAATGTTACCTTTTTATAGTTATTAGATTTTAATTCAGTGTACGGACAAAATGAAAATGTTTATTCCATATTACTGGATATAAAATTTATTTTGTTAATGATAAATTTTAAATGATTCAAATATATTTACATATTTTCACATTTGTTGTGAGTTTTTTTTTTATTAAAAAGAATAATATATTTTGAAGTTAGAAGATCTTGTTAACTTGATAATACATTTGTGACTTTATTTTCAAACAAAACAAACAATATAATATCAAAGACATTGTGAAATAAAATCAGAAAAAGTAGTATACAAAATGATGAAAGTAGAGCAAGTCTTTTTTCCTCAAATAACATGGGAAGCACCACACTGCTTTGAACATTTATCATCTTCATCAATCTTCACTGCAATTGTTTTAATATTATGAATTACTCTATGGATTTGGGGGGGTAAGATTAACAAATTATAGAGACAAAATTTGGAGAAAACCTTCATAGGTAACACCACCTTTTTCTTCACCATGGCCCAATTTAATCATATATATATTTGCATTAATGAATATATATATATCTCATAAAAATTAGCTATCAAATAAATAATAAAAATTAAACTAATATAGCCTTCCACTGGCGCTATTAGAAGTCATATGAACTTTTCTTCGTCGAAAATACTGAAATATTAAGAAATAGTAAGTTAGTAAAATAAAAGGGCAATGTTTACATAGTAATAACTATTTTAAAGCAAACTTCCTGGCAATCTAAATCATATAAGTAGCATTGATAAATAAAGTCATTCTTCTGTCTTGAGCATCAAAAAAATAAATCGTGATAATTCTCTAACTCTTGAGAAGTTTAATAATTTTAAAAAAAGATATTCAGAAGCATCTATCTACATCACAGGAGGAATTGTTAACAAAAACAAATGAATTTAGACTACAATAAAAATTAAACTAATACAAACTTCAACTGGTGTTATTACAAGTCATATAAACTTTCTTCGTAAAAAATGCTTAAATATTAAGAAATGGTAAATCAGTAAAACAAAAGGGAAATGTTTATACAGTAATAACTATTTTGAAGAAAACTTCCTGATAATCTAAATTATATAAGTAACATTGATAAATAAAGTCATTCGCACTCACTCAACCACGATAAATTACACGAATTTTTTTTAAATGCAAGAAGAAGAAGAGTAGGAGATTAAAAAAATTATGGTTGAAAAATGAGAGGATACCCCTCTATTTATAGTCAACAAAGGGTAGTATGAACAAGTGTTTTTTTGTGTCTTATCTGAAAAGTCATGACCTTTCCGAGAAGTCACAACCCTTTCGAATAGTCACGACTTATTGAAAAAGTCATAACTCTTTAGAAAAGTCACAACTCTTTGGAAAATGCACAACTCTTTGGAAAAGTCACAACTCATCAAAAAATCACAACCCTTTGAAAAACGTCACAACTCATCGAAAAGTCACAACCTAAGTTAGGAATATTATAGTAATTTAACATTCAAGTTAGGAGTTCATGCTTTTAAGGTAATATATATATATATATATATAATTTAATTTTTAGATAAAAAATATTATTTATAATCTAATTTGTTAATATATTTTTAGTTAGTTTATAGTTTTTAATGTAATAATATGTTATTGGGAAAATTGTATGAAATAACAAACTATTAATTCAAATTAAATGCTATAGCCATAGTTTCTTTTATTTGTAATTCACAGCAAACATTCCATGTTTTTTGCCATCCCATTTGTATACCGAAATATATAAATGCAGGACTCATTTGTATACCAAAATGTACAAATGCAGGACCATTTGTATACTGAAATATACAAATAGACCGAAATATACAAATGTAGGACCCATTTGTTTAACGAAATATACAAATGCAGGACCTATTTGTATACCAAAATATACAAATAGACTGAAATATACAAATGTAGGATCCATTTTTATTCTGAAATATACAAATGCAAGACCCATTTGTATACCGAATATACAAATGCAGGACCCATTTGTATACCAAAATATACAAATGCATGACCCATTTGTATACCGAAATATACAAATGTAGGACCCATTTGTATACCGAAATATACAAATACAGGACCCATTTGTATACCGAAATATACTAGACCCAAATACAGATTTTTTATGTATATGTGTACCAAAATATATAAATTAATAGCCATAGCAAACATAAAGTTTGCTATGGAGCGCAATTATACAAACTATAGCTATATCATACAAATATGATTTTTATGTTTGCTATATGTGAAAGCTGCTCTATATTATTTCAAATTTGGGCTTGTAAAATTTTGTAAATATTTTATTTTGTATTAAGATCATAAGTTACAATTATATTGTTATAGTTTTTCAAATTTGAAGTTAATAATTTATTTTGTAAATATTTTGTTTTGTATTTAGTTTGACTATAGCCTTTAATCTTGTTAATTTAACATAATGAATGTTGATATTTCAATAAAAGTATTTTGTACTCATGTGAATTTTACCGTCTTTTCGAAGATTTCTATTCATTTAACATTTTTAAAGTTTAGCTTATCACATGGTAAATGAAAATATATATGATCTCTTTTTCAAACATCGTATAGTTCTAAAAAATCGAACAAATAAAAAAATAAAAAAAACCGACTAAAACCGAAATTGAAAAACCCGACTTTATGTGGTTTGATTTGGTTTTTAGATTTAATAAATCGACATAATTGATTTAGGTTTATTTTAATGAAAAATCAAACCAAATCGACCTATGTACACCCTTAATTCACACAATATACTTTGTGTTATACAATGAGTAGCCTCACAATATATTTTGTGTCCAAATAAAGTAACTTTGCGTTCAAGTAAATTTTGTTGCCAAGTGACTTTGTGTCCATGTTTTATAGCCTATATGTATCTTCTTGTTATAAAATAAAGCATGTGTAGTATAATAAAATGACAAGAAGAAAAAGAGAGAAAGAGTAGTAGTAAGTAACTTTATTTTCACTTTTTGTGTTTTCTCATACTTAAGATGAGTAACTAATAGGCTATTTATAAACCTCATGAATCAAGCTACTTGGCCGTACAAATATATTATAGTGTGTTGGCCTCTTTACTTGTGCATAAGTTAGGCACAATGAATGGTTACATGGTCATCCACATAATTTTACAACACTTTTCTTGTAATGTGAAATGATAAAAAGAAAATAATAAAGAAAAACTACTATTACTACTCTGTCTCTCTCTTTCTCTACTTCTCTTAATTTTAATACATC